TTCTTGTGTGATTTTTTATTTGTTTGTTTGTTATGGAATAACTTTATATTGTCACACTATGACTTTAGAATACTATATTTTTGGAGGCCAGTGGAATGCTATTTTAATGGATGCAACTTTTTTTTTTTTAGTTGTAGATGGATACAATATCTTTATTGTATTTATTTTTATGTGGTGCTGAGGATCAAACCCAGTGCCTCACACATGCAAGGCAAGCACTCTACCACTGAGCTACAATCCAGCCCAACTTTTTTTTTTTTTAACAATTGAATATATTGTGTACTTATCTTTACACTTAGGCATTACTTTCTTCTTTAGATCATAAATTGAAAGTAACCCTTTTCACAACCAGAAACTAAAGAGTCTCCATGCACTTGGTTTTAACTTCTTTGTCAATCTGCTAAATTTGGAAGTACCCCAACTGCCATTTAAACTAGTATTTTTTGGCTATTTGGTTCTTTTTACTTAATTGAATTATGCATCACTGGGAATTAATCAACCATATTTAAAAACATTAGTTTTTAAATTAGCATGGTGCTTGCTTCAACAGCATATATACTAAAATTGGAACGATCCAGAAAAGATTAGCATGGCTCATGCACAAGGATGATATGCAAACTTGTGAAATGCTCCATATAAAAATAAATAGATATGGGCTGGGCTTGTGGCTCAGTGGTAGAGCGCTTGCCTAGCATGTAGGAGGCACTGGATTCAATTCTCAGTACCACATATAAATAAATGAATAAAATAAAGATCCATCAACATCTAAAAACAAAGACACAAGGGGCTGGGATGTGGCTCAAGCGGTAGCGAGCTCGCCTGGCATGCGTGCGGCCCGGGTTCGATCCTCAGCACCACATACAAACAAAGATGTTGTGTCCGCCAAATACTAAAAAATAAATATTAAAAAATTCTCTCTCTCTCTACCTCTATCTCTCTCACTCTCTCTTTAAAAAAAAAAAAAAAAAAAAAAAAAAATAAAAACAAAGACACAAAACTGCTTTTTAATTGTAAACTAACTAAATAGATTAGGAAGCACGTGTATATATAGTAATAGAATTCAGAGTACAAACTGTATTAATTCACCTATATGTTCAACGTCTCCTACTGGGACACCAATATTTTAATATCTGGTTCTGTATAGGTGGCAACTCCAAAAACACAGACAAAAAAAAAAAAAAAGAAGAGGAGAGAGTGGTGGGGGTTGCAGGGGGAGGCTGGGAAAGAGAGAGGGAAGAAAATCTGCAGTCCAAGATAAGTCTATGAACCAAAATTCAAAAAAACTCACAAGGAAAATTCACCAAGAAAATAAAGCTTATAAAATCAATAATAAGGAGATAAATTAATTTGATTTAAATAAACATGATAGATCTGAAAATGACTTTAATTAGTTAAGGCTCTGGAAAGAGATACAGGATAAAATAACATCTATTTTTACAAAAGGTATTATAAAAATACAAACAGGACTGGGGATATGGCTCAGTGGCAGAGCACTTGCCTGGCATGTGTGAGGTCCTGGGTTAGATCCCCAGCAAAATACACACACACACACACACACACAGAAACAAGACCAGGTGGACATGGCAAAGCATCAGTGAATGCATCTCCCCCAGGAATGGGTGACCCCTCCTGTATCTGCTATATTTCCCAGCTGACTCCAATTGTGTTGTCCATGCACAGCCCTCTGCTAACACCCCTTTGCAGTGCTCCAATCTGGAACTGGATGGGGAGATGGAGCAGTTTCAGCCCCTCTCCACCTATAGCCTTCTGCCACATACCCAAAGCCCCACCATGCCAACTCCTCCACTTGTGTTTTCCTTTGAGTTGGCAGCAACGAGGCAGGGCAGGTCTGTAAGTCTGCTGCCCAGCAGCTGTGCAGGGCGCTAGTCCCCTCTTGCTTCAGGCTGTTCAGTCTTCACTAGGGATTCTCTTGGCGCCCCTCTCTCTGGGGTCTGGAAGAGGATATAAGCACCCATGGGTCTCCTTCCTCAACACTGCATTCCCTCATAGGCAGACATTCCTCCCACTGCCCTGGCCTTTCTTTCCACTCATTAATGTGGGGAGAGGACTGGAATGAGGACTAGTCAGGGGATACTGGAGTGGAGGTAAGTAAGGATTGGAAGAACAATGGGTCTTCTAATGCTCTGTTAGGAAGGTAGCTGGTTCTAGGCTTTGGCAGCTCTTTAGATGTAGAATGGAGGCTCCTTATGGACTTCTGTTTTCTGGTTTAGCCTCAGCAGCAGTTCCAGGACAACAGGAAAAAACTCCTCCCAATGACCAATTACACAAGCATATATGTCCATTTCATCTTCCTCTTACAGTTTAACAAATGTTGGCAAACTAGTTTCTTTATCTTGTTTTATTCACTTAAAGAATTTTTTTTGAAATCGCTCTGTATCAGAACATATGCATAGGCCTCATTCTTTTTAAAGGCTGCATAGTATATCATAATATGGATTTATATAATTTATGGTAACAGGTGTGTAGTAATAGACACTTTATTTGACTCTAGCTTTTTGCTATTACAAACAGCTGCTATGAATATTGTGTGTATACATCTCTTTACATAGAAGCAGCCTTTAAAAATGTTAACTGGAAATGCTGACAGATTTTTGTCCCAATGGCAATCCTTCTTAATTATTCTGCAATTGGTCACACACAGTATCTCCTAATTTTGAAAACTCTGGGGCTTATTATAAGAATTGACTTTTCCTACCTTCTGTAACTGCATTGCTTAGCATATGACAAGCACTCTGCATTTACAACTATTCTGTTTGAAACTGTATCTAAGTGATGTCTTAAGCAACCATTTGGGATCTACATTTAAGCTAGCTATAGTGCTGCAAGTGCAGTTAAGGGAGGAAGTACAGAGTAGCATTTAGAAATGGTAGCTTTTGAGTCATTATGGCCCAGCATTCCAATTTTTACCTATATGACTTTAGACCTGTATGACACTCAATTTTTTAACGCAAAAAAAGATGGGAATACAGTATTGACTTAAGGGGGGATGTTGTAGTGATTAAATAAGAGAACAGGATGTTTGGATAGCTCCTAGCACATAATAATTGTTCAATAAACATTAGATACACAGAAAGTTATCAATTCAAGTGACAATTGGACATACAGAATCTTTATAGCCAGGCTTAACTTCATACCTGGGCAAGTAAAGGCAAATGGCTTACATATTTCTCCTTTATTTAGCACAAGAAAGTTCTTTCCTGGGGATGGGGTTGTAGTGATGGAGTGCTTGCCTAGCACGTGTGAGGCACTGGGTTCAGTTCTCAGCACCACATATAAATAAATAAATAAAAGTATTCACTGACAACTAAAATATATATTTTTAAAAAAGTTCTTTCCTTCCTTTCTTCTTCCCACTGTAAGACATTAGATATCAACTTATATTAGATCATCATATAATAATCATTCCCATTTGAATTACTATGTCAGGCATTTTGCATATAAACTCATTTAATTTTCATGAGGACCCATGTGCCTTAGCTATCTATAGCTACTGTATTGCAAAAGAGAGTGAGGATCTGAGAAATCAATTGATATGTGCAATGGCATTAGTAGATTGCAGAAGAGGGATTTGTACCTAGGTCTTTCTGAAAAAAAAAGAAATTTGTAAACTGCCATACATTTTTTTTTTTTTTCCGGAATGAAATATCGCTACCTCATGGCAGAACCAGTTTAGAAAAGATCTTAAATGTCAAGAGTGAGCTTGAACTTCATTTAGAGGAGACATCCATTATGTTCTCTAGGTTTTATAAGTCAGCAACAACACATGTTGTTAAATACATTAGAAAAACAGGTTTATGAAGCATACATCGTGTTTTGAAGACAGACACTAAGAGACTCTTGGAAACTGGCAAACCATTGCCACGTGGTGGTTCCTTTCTGTCTATAAACTTTTGTTTGTGCAAGACATAATATGTAGAAGGGCCCACAAAACTTTTAGGGGTGCACAATGCTTTCGGGTCTTTTAAAATTTGGAGAAAAAAAATGAACTTTTACCTGCAAAAAAAGTCTTGCTATATATTATTAATATATTTATCTTTATTCCAATGCAGTTGTAAAATAGAAATTAAATGCAAATATAAAAATAAATAAACCCACATCCACAAGTCACAAGGCGAAAATACCCAGAGCCCAAGAAAGTAAAAACATGGTTTGCATCAATTCGTGTTAACTTTCTGGGGCGGTGATAATGAAGGCTGAGTTGGAAGATGGGAGTGGAAAATGTCACAATTTCCCTCTTCTTATCAAGGCACCTTCAAAGCAAGATTAAAAGAAAGGAGAGAGACACGCCAGAAAGGGATACTTTCTAGCTGTATAATCTTAGACATATGGGTTGATCAATGTGAGCCTCAGTTTAGCCACCGATAAAATGGGGAGATGTTTCTGGGATTGTTGGTCAGGGACTAGTCTGCCTCGTTCACAGCTGTATACAAAACAATAGTACATACATGTTAAAAGAATGCAGTAAATGCATTCTTAGGACAGTGGCCAGTACACAGCTAGGCTCCAGATAAGTGGTGGCTGCCGGCGTTCAAAATTGTGGAAAAGTCTCCTCGCGCAACAGCCGTAGGGATCTGAGACGCAGACGCACCCCAGCTGATTCCACGCAAACCTGCGCTGTAAGTTCCCCGAGAGGCGAAGACACGCGACTGCGCTTGCGCATCAGTGTTTTCCCCCCGCCCCTTCAGTCGCGAGGCTAGTGGGGCGGGCCTCGGCGGCAGCGCGACTAGTAAAAAGGGGAGGACCGAGGAAGGGGCGTGGCCAGCGGCCCGACCTCCACAACCCTCTTCCGGGCTCCGCCGGCTGCGCGCGCATCCTCCCCCCTTCTTTTGTGGTCCGGCCCATTGCGAGGGTGACAGGAAACCCTGTGCAGGGAGCGCCGCCATCTTGGACCAGCCCGAGGTAGATCCTGAGGGAGCCGCAAGAGCAGTCGCCGCCGTCACCGCTGCTGCCGCGGGCGCGTCTGCACCTCTTGGCCCGCCAGCCTACCTGCCGGGGCCTCGGCCGACCGCCCCCACCCCCTCTCCTGTCGCTGCCGCCCTCCTCTTCCTCGTCCTGACGCCCCCCTCCCGCCCGGAAAGCTGCCCAGCCACCAGCAACCCCCCAGGTAACCCAGGCCTTCCGCAGTGTCCGTCCGGTCCAGGCCTCCTCGTCTGGTCCTTGCAAGGGGCGGCGGCGGCGGCGGCGGGCGGCGCCCGGGCCCTGCCCCGCAGGCCGCGGCGAGCCCGGGTCGGCGGAGGGCGCCGCGACGCCGGCCTGACAGGACGCGTGCGGGGGCGCAGGTGTCCCCCGCGCCGCCCGGACCCCCTCGTGCTGCCCGCCGGCGCAGGGCTCCGGGCGTGCGGGGAAGGGTGTGTTCCGCCTGGTCTTCCCCGCCTCCCGGGTAGACCCGCGGCTCCCGCAGGCCCCTCTCCCGCCGCCTGTCCCCGCGGCTGCAGGCCTCCCCCGCAGTGTTTACCCACGCGAGCCGCGCCGCCGGCACCCAAGAGCCCCAGACGTGGCATTCACGCCCCAGAGGCCGCATCTGGCCCCGAGTACAAAAGGCAGCAGCAGCCCGCAGTCTCGCCGGTGTCTTGGACTAGCTCCCGCGTCCTTGTCGATGTGGGCAGCCGGTCTAGACCCTGCTGGGGACGCGGTTGTGGGTCCGTGCTTGCCGGGTTCTGGATTTGGTGAGCCCCTGTGAGGCTCAGAACCGACATAGCATCTAGAAATGTCGAAGAAAAAAAGTTTTGGCTAGAATTTTAAAAAAGAAGATGGAACAAGAACGCTTTGAGGATTTGCACTCTCCTGTGTGCCGGCACAGAGAGGGATCTTCAGATGTGTTTATCCGGCCTGGTGTAGTCCTTGGAGATAGGTTGTATCGTCCCCATTTTACAGGCGTGGAAACTGAGGCCTGAAATTGTGAGGTAGCTGGCTAACGGTGTACCAACAGACTGGTTTCTCCCCACATGGTGGCTGGTGCTCTCTGAATTACACCCCAGGTTAGACCAGAGACCCTGCCTGGTCATGTCTGACGACTGAATTTCTTTTTTCCTGTGTTTGCTCCAGATGATAACTGATTACCCTTTTATGACTAAAGTCTATCAGGTCAGCTGGTACACGGCCAAATCCTCATTCTCACAGACCTTGGAGGAGATATGCAGGTTTCCATTTTGTTTGAAGAAGCACTTTCCCAGAAGGCAGGTGTTTTCCTGGTGGTCCCACAGCAAGTGTCAAGAGCTCAGATTTGAACTCTGGAAAAGTTTTACTATTCATTTCATTACTGACCCAACTACCTTTTTTTTTATTCTGGTGAGGTTATTGAGGACAAACTTGACCTTGCAATAATCCAAGTTCTACCTCTCCCTCAAGCCTTTCCAAATTTTTCTTCAGAGATCTGCTTTGGTGATTTTACTTGGTCATGCCTTGAAGGATGTACTAGCTAAGGTTTTGGAGTCGGCTTGCCTAGGGTTCCCACTTCAGTGTTGTCCCTATCTATAAAAGGAATAATTGTACCTACCTTTTAGAGTTGTTTCAGGATTAAGTGGGATTTAAGGAAAGCCCTTAGCACATTGCTTGACATAGTGTCCCAGTGCCTGCAACTTTGCCATGCCTGTAGTGGGTGTGTAATATCTGTTGAATGAATGAGAGGAGCAAGGCTTTAGAGAGCCAGATAGTTCCACTTCTAAAAGAGTGGGCTTAAATCCTGGCTTTGCATCCAGTAGTATATAAACATGAGTATATCATTTCTCTGACATAGTTTCCTTATTTATAAAATGATTTTTTTAAGATTAGAGATTGTTTATAAAGTAGTTGGGATATAATAAGTACTCAGTAAATGGTACTAATTATAAAGATATAAAGCTTAGATTCTGATATATTAAAAATTCCTTGGTTATGTGCTTACATGAATATGGTATAATGAATTCCACTATTATGTATAATTATAATGCGCTAGTAAAAAATTCCTTGGAATTAAAACCATATTTTCACTTTTTATATTTCATATTAAGTTTTAATATTAATAATATTACTAATTATTAAAATTAATAAATTGTAAACTTCAAATATGCAACAGAATTGAGTGTTCTTACAAGTAAGTCTGTAAGCATCAAATATTTTTGCATAATCTTAGTAAGATATGTAAGATATAATGCTAAAACTGATACTATAGGGAGACAGTTAAAAATGTTTCAAGCTTTTTTTTTTTTTAATGTGGTTGAAAGTGTTAGTGGCATCTGCCCTAAGTCCAGTGACTTGGGAGGCTAAGACTGGAGAATCATAAGTACCAGGCCAGCTTCAGCAATTTAGCAAGACCCTCTCTCAGAAAATTGAAAAAGATTGGGGATGTAGCTCAATGGTAAAGCAGTCCTGGGTTTAATCTCCAATACAAAAACAAAAACAAGTGTCAGCCATGGTAGGAAAAAGCAGTTTACAAACAGATTAGAGATAGTTATATTTTACTTTTTAAGACTTTTTTTAGACAATTTTAAAGTATACAAAGTAGAATAATATATCATCAGTAAACATTTCACTGTTACTAGTCCTTTTAAGCTCTAATAGCAAGTACAGAATTTTGTCTCTTGGTTGTTAAGTTTTTCTATGAATAAAGGTACTACTTTACTTCCTATTCGGCAGTATACCATAATTAGCTGAAATTTCTTGACACTTTAAGTGATCCAGTTATTATAATCCTTCACATTTAATTAACTATTTTGTGAAAAGTGAGATTTTTTTATTTTTTTGTTTTTAAAGTGGGCCTCCAAGGATTACTTTCAGAAGTTGTAATACTGTAGCAGAAAGGAAATGGACTACTTATTTTAATTAGATTGTTATTAACTGCAGAAGTTTTGTGTCCATCTGACTTATAGTCAAGTAAGCATTCCACTTGAGTGGGCCTATAAGTAAATCAGAATACTCTGTTCTTGAACTCCATGAAGGCAGAGGCAGTGTTGTCATTTTTGATCATTACTATATTGTCAAATCCTAGCACAATGTTTTATGTTCAGTAGATAATATTTTCATAATGAGATCACAAAAGCAGTCCATCTTGGTGCCTCTTTAAAGCAAAATTCTTACTTATTGGAATAAACAAACAAATAAAAAATCCTGAGCAATGAGGGTATGAAAGACTTCAGATCACCAGGAATATTTAGTGGGTTGCTTTTTCCCTGCTGTCTTGAATCAGTTATGTAAAAGTTTTACAGTAATATCATATGTTCTAAGAAGTATAAAATGGTATATAATAGTGTGAAAGACAGTGCATAAACACAGTAGGGAGTTAAACTATTAAAAAATGAAAAATCCTCTGCTCTTGGTGTTGGTTTTTTATTTGGGGCTGATCATATGATTGGCTTCTTAGGATGCTCCCAGTACTATGAATAAATTCAGAAACAGTGTTGGAAATGATACTTATCAATTTTCAGTACTTTGTGTACTTTAGAACATATTACCAAATGAAATAGAGTGTTTTTTGTTATGTTATACTGCAGGGATGTTTAAGGTTTATAATTTTCCTCTTTGCCTTTTATTCTCTCAGCCTATATATTCTTTCATTTTCACATTTGATGTTTATTTTCTTGAGTATGTGTGTGTCCGAAAATTAGGTATGCTTAATCTTTACTACTCAAAACTCTGCAGCATTTTTAACAAAATCATCAACATATTTCCAGATTAATGCATGTAAGTATAACTGTTTTTTAAACTGAATGCATATTATTTTGTAGTACAGGTGTACTTTATTCAGCCATTTCCTTGTTGATGGGAATATTTAAGATTGTTTCCAGTTTTTTGCTGTAAAAATGGTGCATTAAATGTAATACACTCCTAGCTTTATGAACTGAAGTTTTTGTTTCTATAGGATATTTTCAAGTGGATTTGTGGACCAAAGGATGATTTGGATTATTTTGAAGATATTTAAATATACTGATAACTTTACAAAAGGATGGCATTTCAGAATTCCACAAGCTGTATGAATCTAACTTCACATGTACCTGCGCATTGCAAAACTAGTCATTTGTATAATTAGGAAGGTGTCTGATTCAGTTAATGAAGATCATGTATTCTTTTGGCACAACAGTAATGTTAATATGGAAATATGTTCGTGATTTTTGTTAACGTGGAAGAAAAACATGTTGTGTGTTTTATTTATGACCTTAACAATAGTATGTTTTATATTCAAGATACAAAGCTGAGAAATCCTTTGTTAAAGCTGAATTAAGCAAAATGTCTTAAGAGGGGTCATTTGACTACATGGAACAACAATTGGGGTTTGTTTTAGTAAACATTTCTCATGACAGCTGTCTACCTATGTATGCTAGGGAAACCATGGCTTTGGAATCAGGCCTGGGTTCAAGTTTTAGTTCTACCTTTGTAACACTGGCTAAATTAGTAGATTATATCCTCAATTTCTTGGAATTTTTCAATGTCGATAATGATTCTACTAGAGTTGTGAGAGTTAACGATTTATGTAAGACAGTATAGGGAAAAGTAATGCAAATCATCATGTGGTTTACTCTCACATGCTCTCTTAGGAAACTTTGTAAAGTAGGTAAATTATAATGACTGCTAATATTACTGTTCATTTGTACCTACAAATTTTTATCACAACACATCTTTTGAATGTGATTATTTCGTACTTTTTACTCACAATATTAAATTAGGACCCAGTGAGAAAGCTCTGTGTCCTAAAGCAACACCACTGAGTTTCTCATAACTGTGTGGAAGAGGCAGGAATATGTAGTGGTTAAAGAGGGATCTCTGCAGTCAAAACAGTGCCAAATTCAGTCTTGTCTTGTCCATTTAAACTGTGGTCTGGACGTGTTATTGACTTACTGCAACTATTTTCTCATTTGTAAAATGAGAGATAATAGTACCTGTCTTGTAAGGCTAGTAGTAAAGATTAAGTGAAATCACATATAAAATGTTTAGTATATTGCTTGGTACATGTTCTATACCCAGTAAATGGTAACTGTAACAATCGTGTTTGTTAGTTTACACATTGTTCATCATGTATTTAATGATGTTTGTTGTCTGAATTGTCATTTTTTTTTCCTTGTAAATCAAAGGCCACTAGGTGTGGTGGCCCACTCCTTTAATCCCAACTGCTTGGGAGGCCAAGGCAGGAGGATTGTAAGTTTGAGGCCAGTTTTGGCAACTTAGTGAGGCCCTGTCTCAAAATAAAAAGGGTTGGGGATGTAGCTCAGTGGTAGAGCACTTGCTAATGGTAAAACCCTGGTTTAAGTCCCTATCAACACACACAAAATCAGAAGCATTAAAGGAGGTCTTATCTGCTTGTCATCTTTATTCAAATGCTATAAAAGGAAGTGCCTTTTAGTCACATCAGGAGTTGTATACAAATTATAGAATATTACTAAGTTTTTTAAAAAAATATTTTTAGTTATAAATGGACACAATACCTTTATTTTATTTATTTATGTGGTGCTGGGATCGAATCCAGTGCCTCACCCATGCTAGGCAAGTACTCTATAACTGAGCACAACCCCAGTCCCCCAAGTTTGTTTGTTTGTTTGTTTTTTAATTAGTAGAAGTTGTAGTGTTGAGTGGACTTCTTTTTTCAGAGTATTTGAACTAGACCAACATTTCTTGGTCCCCTTTTGGACCTTTAAGTTCTCAAAAGGTAAAGCAAGAGCACTTCTTTTTAAAAAAATATTTTCATAGTTATAAATGGACAGAATGCCTTTTATCTATCTCTGTCTATCTGTCTATTTATATGTGGTGCTAAGGATCAAACCTAGTGCCTCACACATGCTAGGCCAGCACTCTGCTACTGAGCTCCAGCCCCAGCCCCAGCCCCAGCCCCGCAAATAAATAAAATAAAGGGCAGATTTTCCCCTTCCAAAGCTAGACAAAAATATAGTTTTCACCAATCAATTCTAAGTTTCATGTTTAAGAAATGAGGCTGAGAAATCCTTTGTTAAAGTAATACTAAGTGTATTTAAAAAGGTCCCTTGAATGTAGTTCTAGTGTAAATACATAGTTGACTGAATATAAGCTATTGGAATGTATTTAAACTAACCAGTTTTTTTTTTTTTTTTAACCTTAGAGTAAAAAAGGAAGGGCATGTTGCATCAGTAGCTACAGTGTTCTGCCTCCTTTTTTTCTATAGAAATTAGTAAGTTTGAATAGTTTTCCACTAATTCTGCTTTTAGGTTTGCTTGTTTATTTAAAGAAACTTGAGCCCCCAAATTGCATGGTGAAGTAGAGGCAAAGAAAAGTGCTATATTCAATCTGGAGTAGTGATTATTTTGTTTGGAAATTGTTTATACTACATTGATTTTTCTAATTAACATTCTCAATTTATTATCTTTGTAGATATTTAATTAATGAATATTTAGATATTTAATGTTTTGTTTGATAATTAGCAGGTACACAAATTAGTACAACTAGAATTGGATTATAATTTAATGATTAGTCTTTAGAGCATTTGAGGTAGAAATTGGGATTGTTAGAGGCATAGGTTTGTGTGTGTGTGTGTGTGTCTCACCCGCACGCTCTGTGCTGGGTATTGAACCCAGGTCCTTATACCTGCTAAATCTGTGCTCTACCACTGAGTTACAGCCCCAACCCCTGTAATTTTAATACAGTAAAATAGATGAAGCAAAGTATATATAGATGTAACTTTTAGAAGATGTATAGAAAATCAAGGGAAGGAGTACCAGAGAAACAGTAATTCAAAGGTAACTAATTACTTTTACTCAAGTTCAAGTAGGGGAAGAAGAGTGTAGGAGTTAAAAATTAATTAGAATAAAAGTGTACTCTTTTCATGGAGAAGAGAAGTAATGCAGGTTAGGAAGTTAATAACCTTTAAAAACCATTTTTAATGCAAGAGATTTTTTTTGTGTTTAGTATCTGGTTCAGAGATCTGGTGAATAATCCAGACCAAGTTCAGCCTCAAGACCAAGTTTTTTTTTTAAAAAAGTATTAAGTCCCTAATGGCTGGAAAAGAGATGGAAAGTCATGTTGTTCAGAATCAGAATTAAATCTAACTAGAAAAACTCCCTTTCCTGACAGAACTGGTTAAGGGAGTTTTCTATGATGTAGAAGACTGATTGTAAATGTGTTACAACATGCCAGGCTGTAATGGGGAGCAAGGAATCTGCTTGTGTGAATGTAAATGTATATAGCTAAATGGGAAGGCGACTATACTGTGTGAAGTGATTGTTTAATAATTTACTGTATTTAAGAACTTTCTCTTCCTTGATAATTCACTTACTGTAAATATTCTGTGTGCTGGTTAAGATTTGTTATTTATGTAGAAATTTTATTTGAAGCATGGTAAAGTGTTGATTTCAATAAAGGAATTTCTCCAATAATATCAGCTATCTTGCTTGTATAATTTGATATTGACCAGTACAGTAAAAATCAAATTAAAAAATATATATAAGCCAAAATTTTAAAAATGGGTTAAATTTTGATATTTATATATAATTTTTGTCTTTCCATGAGCTGAAAACTGATGAAAATAAACTTTTATTGGAAGTTACTGCCATTATTAGAACTTATCCCTTGTTTCTCTACCACCAGCACAGTGTCTGACATGTTTGAGGCACATGTGAATTGTTTGGAGAACTTTTGTTGTCATTGTTGAGATGGCATTTCACTATGTTGCCCAGGCTGGTTTTGAATTCCTGAGCTCAAGCAGTCTCCAAATTCAGCCTCTTGAATAACTGGGACTATTAGGTGGTGCCACCACACCCTGCTGAGAATTTTTTTTTTTTTGTAAGTTGTTAAAATTGGAAACTAATTAGAGTTCTTTAGGTTAAGTCTGTCTGAAGATAATGAATGGGCTGTGACCTTTTGAAATATATATATGTGTGTGTGTGTGTGTACATATATTTATGTGTGTGTATATATACACACACACACATATATATATATATACACACACACACACACACATATAAACTTTGAAATTTTACAAGCATAAGTACAATTTTCTAGTAATATTTTTCAGCATTTATAGTATTATTTCTTCAGGCCCCTACTATATTGTTAATCTGCAAGTCCTGTGGTGAATCATATGAAATTGCCAATGATGATGTCCTCCTTTTAAAAATAAAATAATACAGGAACCACATTTTCATGGGATTCAATATAATCTGATGTCAATTTGATTTGAAAATCATGTGATTGCTCTTTGGATGCTCTGCTATTGATTTAGAGTAGAGGATAAAACTTATTTTGTGTTTATTTTTTATCATTCTGTTTAGAATCACAATTCTGAATAAGTACACTACCTGTAACTTACTTGATCTATTAACAAGGGAGGGGATGTTAAGGAAAAGGGGACTATTTTTAGAGATTTTTGTTGGAAATTTTCCAGAGTAACATTTCTTTTTTGATATTCCTAAAGTGAAATACTGGAGTTTTTTGGGTGTATTCTCATATTTCTGTGAATAATGCATGAGAATGTTAAAGTACTATTCATTGAAGAGAACTTGTATGTATTGATCATTTGTGAAGTGAATTTTACTGACTTATCGTAACCAATATTTTGTTTGTATTCAGTATACTTTATTTTATATATATCTTTACCTATGTCTTTTTAAAGGCTTGCAATGATCAGTTTGGATAACGTGTATTTTTCCTTCTGCAGTAACACAGTTTTCTTTGTTTTTAGTGCCACCATGGCAACTGCACCATACAACTACTCTTACATCTTTAAATATATTATTATTGGTAAGTTTGCTTAACTTATACTCTTATCCTTAAAGCATTAATATACAAACATTTATGTACTAATATGTAACACTCCAGAAGAAATAAGCTCTTTTCTCACTTTGGAACTAAAAGCTTCTTTAATAAAGATAAATGTACCTTTTGCATTGTGGCCTAGATACTTTTGTAGTACAGTGCTGAGTACGTAGTGTAGTGATTTTGGTTGTTCTTGAGGGCTACCTGAAAGATTGTTAATACTAGGAATGAGGAATGAGATTAATTTCCTAGTAGTATTGAAATATTCTAAAGATTACTTGAAAATTCTGATATCCCCCTGGATTCCAAAAATTGATAGCGAACATTGTTGATTCAGAATAATTTCTGTAACACATAAAATATATTGCTGTAGTATAGCCAGGAATGAGATTTATTCTGTTGTGGTTTTTATGTAATATAAATTCTTTTCTTTTGTCATTCTATAAGAAATAAAAAATGTGAGATAAGACACAGGATCTAGTCAGTCAAGCTTCCAAAATTCAGTTTGTTATTTCTGCTTATTATGTTTCCTCATTTGTTACTCCTTTGCTTCTGTGTGTTTGTTAAGGGGTTAAAAAAAAAAAAAAACACCCAAACTTTGATACAGCTCACAGTAACATTTCATAATTTTGCTGGTAAAGTTGGTGGCTCACTGTTAACATAATAAATGTATAACCAAATTCTGTCACTGCTAAAGGTTGGAACTAGTCAGTGAAAATGTACGTACACATATTTTTAATCCATTGTAAAGAAGGAAAAGCGTCTCAGAAACTTGTGATATGGTAAGAGACATAAGAATCATTGCATATGATGATATTATAAAACTGAGAAATGTAATTGCCATCTTAAACTTTTTTTTTTTTTTAAACAGGGGACATGGGAGTAGGAAAATCTTGCTTGCTTCATCAGTTTACAGAAAAAAAATGTAAGTTCAATATGTGAAGTAAAACTTTAGTATTTAGTTGTAGATGGACACAATAAATTTATTTTTATGTGGTGCTGAGGATTGAACACACGTGCGAGGTGGGCGCTCTACCACTGAGCTACAGCCCCAGCCTTTTAGGAGCTTTCTTTATTGTTACATTTCTACATTTTTAAAAACTTGAGTCATTTTCAGTGTACTTTATGAATTAAATATAACTTTCCCTATATTCACACTTTTGTCTTTAGGTGCAGTGATTTCTTTTTTTAATTTAGATAAAATGAAATATATTATTACCAGTATGTTTTGAGTATTGGTTTTTGTTTTTCTACGGTTCTGGGAATTGATCCCAGTGCTTTGAGCTAGGCAGGCACTCTGTACACTGAGTTACACCCCGGCCCAGAGTGTTAATTTTTATATGTGGTATATTCTGACTCACGTTTAGATTTCTTGGTGGCAAAAATGTTATTTTAAAAAAATGCATAGAATAATGTTGGGCTGGGGCTGTGGCTCAAGCGGTAGCACACTCGCCTGGCATGCGCGGGTTGCTGGGTTCGATCCTCAGCACCAATAAAAATAAAATAAAGATATTGTGTCCACCGAAAACTAAAAAATAAATATTAAAAAAATTCTCTCTCTTTAAAAAAAAAAGATGCTAGAACAATGTCAAATTTAAATAATCTTATTCTTTGACTCTGTTGTAGAAATTGATTATCTTATTGTACATTTGCTGCATATATTTCATTTGTTAACTAATTAGTAGATTTGAAATACTTAAAATGGAGTTTTCTGTATTTATGACCAGTTGATAAGATTCAGAGTACAACTCTCATTTTAGGTGATAGGAGAAGGGGCCAATTTGTTGTGATTGATATGCTAAACATAAGTGAAATTGTTTGTGTATGTTGAAGTCATTTCTATAGCATTTTTGTGCTACTAACCACAGAGATTTGATGTAACATTTTATGAAGTGTCCATTCAATTGTGCAATTGTACCAGAATAGTGAGTTTAGGTTTTAAGCGGCCTAATAATAAGGGAAAGGACTTGTACTATTGGCTTAGATATATGTAACTTGTTAGTGTATAATTATAAGTATGTATTAAATGTGATGATTTTGTTTGAGACACTGATAATATTTTCCAGGGTAAAAATTTGTTTGATTAGTGACACCTAGAGTCCTAAAATCTTTGATTTTTTTTTTAAACGGAGTAATGATTGTCAGATGGCTAAATAGTATAATTTTGGCATTATGAAGGATTTATTAAAAATCTTATTTGTACTTAGCAGATTCTTTTAGTCCAGGGGGTCAGCAAACAGTAGCTAGTGGGCTAAATCCAATTACTGCCTATTTTTTGAAATAGGATGTTATTGGAACACAACCCTGTCTATTTTACATAGTCTGTTGTTTTTTTTTGTTTTTTTTTTTGCTTCAGAGGCAGATTTGGGTAGTTGTGACAGAGACCTTTTGGCCTACAAAACTTAAAAATTCGATTGTTTGGTTCTTTCCAGAAGTTTGCTGACCCTTATACTAGTTCATTCTCATTTGACTTCTAGTTCTTTGCTTTCCCCGCCTTACCCCGCAACCCTCCAGTGGTAGAATTAGTCTAGAGCCTATAAGTATTAGCAAGTCTTTTGATTATTCAGTGGATTTTCCCCAGTAGTCTAAATTTGAAGTTTTCTGAAAGTTGGGATATTATATTTTTTTCCCCCTCCCTAACAGTTATGGCTGATTGTCCTCACACAATTGGTGTTGAATTTGGTACAAGAATAATTGAAGTTAGTGGCCAAAAAATCAAACTGCAGATTTGGGATACAGCAGGACAGGAGCGGTTTAGAGCTGTTACACGAAGCTACTACAGAGGAGCTGCGGGTGCACTTATGGTGTATGATATCACTAGGTAAGAGGTGAATAACTTTTCAACCTTCATACTTGGGAATAGAAATTTACTTTGGGAAATGTGGTTTCTTTATTATTGATTTAGGCATTCTTTAGTTTGTAGTTGGATGACTAAATGAATGTATTTGGTTTTACAACTTAAGTTGCTGTCTACAACTTGATATAACTTTTTTTTTTTTCTGGAAGTTGGTACGATTGAAGAAAACTTTAGGAGATGGTGGGTGGAGCTAATTGAAGAATACAGTTCTGAAAAGCAGCATGAGTTGAATTATTTAAGAAGAAATGATTATATTTGAAGCTTTGTTCTTTCACTTCAGTAGAAAGCAAGCAAGTCTTGAGGAGTTACTTTATTCAGCCTCTGTGTTAAAATTTACGCCTTCTGAAAATAAGGCCAAAGATTTAAATATACAGTTTTGCTAATCCAGCATGATAGATTGCAAGTGGTTCTTATGCTAGCATCTGAAGGGGAAAAGGTGCTATTTTGAAATATATAGCATTTTTTTTTTGACATTTAGGTGGTGATTTATGTATAATACTTCAGTATTTAATTGTTCATTTACTTAAATTCTTTTTTGTCCTAACATGGATTGAAGTGACTTAAATACTACATGCAGCAGGATTAAATTTATATCAACATGGCTATTTCTGGAAACTCAAGGCACTTGATATAAAGTAGCAAAACTGGACTGTAAGGTTTACTTTGGAGAACATGGAAAACTATGCTGTTTGTCTCCCGTAAGCTAGAAAATGAACTGGATCACCTTTCATGTTGATGCAAAGCACCAATCAAAAGCAGCGTGACTCTCTTTTTTTAGGGGGTAGAGATAGGTGAGTGGGACCAAGTGATAATTACTTTGAAGCATATTTCTGTTTAGGAAATGCTTTATACTATTTCCTTATGTAGAGTTGCAGTGTACATTAGCATATTAAGACCTTGAGAAATTCTTCAGTAATGAAATTCCTTACTGTTTAACTTTGTTTAATTTGGTGTTTCCTACGTTTATTTTATTGAGGAACACACACTGTGGGAAATGCTGCCTTAGAATAAAGATGGTGTCTAATTATAATTGTAGTACAAAAGTCTCAGTAAATTTCTACAACTGGGTGGTCTCAGGGAAAATCAGTAAAATAAGCCTTACTGCTCTTTCTTTTAGTCAGGTAGTTGATAACATGATCAGTAAATGGTATTGTATAAGACTATTTAAAAACCTGTCTGTGTAGAACTGTCTCATTAAAAATGCCATGCATTATTAATAAATTTAAATATGGTGATTTATACTTAAAATGTAATTTATATTTAAAATATTTTTGCTTTTAAACATCTTTTAAACATATAAGTAAAATATGTCTATTTAAATCATTGAAAGTAGTTCAGGTAGAAACAACAGAAATGTTCATCAACTGATGAATGGGTAAATATAATATCGCATATCCACACAATAGACTGCTTTTCAGCTATAAAAACAAATGAAGTACTTACACGAGCTACCTGAGGATCAACCTTGAAAAACATTATGCTAAGTGAAAGTAACTAGACAAGAAGGCCACATATTAGGTGGTACCATTTATGAAATACCCAGAATAGGCGGATCCACAGACATGGAAGATTGCCAGGGCCTAGGGAGTTGCTGGGGGTGGTGGTGGTAGGGTTCTCTTTGGGATCATGTAAATCTTCTAGAATTAGATAATAGTAATCAGTGCCCAATTTTGAATATATGAAAAATAACAATTATATACTTTAAAAGGGTAAGCTTTATGGTGATTGTATTTCAATATTAACTGTTACAGATAAAAGATACTTCAGGCTTTACATAATGCTTTCTTGACTGACACTTTATAGTGACATTGATGTTGGAGTCATGATACCAGTTTACCTCCCAGTTTTTCTATTATTAATACTTTACTGAGACTTAATTCTTGGCATTAACTGTAATTGTTACAGGATACCTTTCTAAATTGAGAGCAGAGCTTATCATGGCAGTTGTTTTGCCAAATCAGTTTTGATATATATCTAATGTCCACCTTAAAGCTAGGAATTTTTAGCACTTCTTTTTAGTGTTAGTACCACCAGTTAATTTTATATCTTTATTCATAGATATAAAATTATAGTGAATTATCTGAATCATTGGCAGAAGTGAAGGTGCACATAAATAATATGATTTACATGATCTTGATGCTACATATTTTAATGCTTTATTTTAGTCAGGTAGTTGGTAACATGATCAGTAAATGGTATTGTATAAGACTATTTAAAAACCTGTCTGTATAGAACTGTAGGTTTTTCTTTTTACCAGAGTGGTGGCAGTTTATAACAATTCACTCTTCCTGTCAGCTTTGAAATTTTAAAATTCATCGAAATCAGAATAAGTATGTTTGGACTTATTTATCATTTGTGTAAGAAGTAAAACATCCCTGTTGTGTGAAGTCATGATATGCTGGTACTGCAAATATTGAGCAGTGGTAAGGCTTGTACTTTTTGAAAGTGATATTTGACCATTGTTTACTTACAACATTTTAAACCATTAAGAAAAAGGTGCTGTCTTGATATGTGACATCATTTTTTGACGTTTAGGTGGTGATTTATGTATAATTTGAGATAGTACAAGAAAAGAAAAATACCTGAGTAAGGAATTTTTTTTTTACTTTCCATTGGGGAAAGAGTAAATATTTGAAATAATGAATACTTCTGAGCACTGGCAGCTAGAGATCATGGAATATATTCGCAAGGCAAACCTCAGAAACACTTTAAGGACACATGGTATGTGTGAAAGGGTTGTAGATCTTGACCTGTATCCTTATGGCCTTCTCTTTCCTTACATGTCAGATGGGTGAGATGGGATTAATGTTCTGAGTCTAGAAATCATAAACATTTTTAACTTCATAAAGGTTATCTTCTTTAGTAAGTTTTACTCTGTATAATATTGTACATTACAAATTTTCTTTAGCAATGGGGTTACATTCTGATACTTCCTTGTATGTTGAAAATATCAGTCAAAAATGCATGTAATATTCTGGTAAACCTTTAGTAAAATCAAGTTGAAGCATCATAAGTTGGAGACCATCTGTATTTGGATTTGCTTGCTATTGTGGGGCCAACTTGGCTAGAGCAAAGTAGCCTATGAATTTTTAAACTTTTGCTTGGAGAAAGAGAAATAGGACAGTTTGAATCTGGAAATGCTGCCAGGTTAAAAAAAAATGCAAAGTTAGGTTAAACTTCCTTTCTGATATCTGGGAACTTAAATTTCTAGTCACGTGTACTAAATACCCTTTTAAAGCCAGTTTTTATGCTTTATAATTAGCATACTCTTTGAATTATTACTAAAATAAATTACATACCATCTTACACTGTGATTTCTTGGTTTCTAATTGAAAATTAAAATGCAGAAATGTTTTTCTATTGAACGTGTCACTGTCTAGGCATTTTGGTATTACATTGTGTCCATTTTGTGATTGAAAATCTGGATAATTTCAAAATAATTTTAGTTTTGACTTCAGATTGTTCCATGCTTGCTTATTGGTTTGTTTATGGATGTACTTTTAAGTATAAATAATTTGATTCTGACATGTCATTAACATAGTTGTCGGATGTTATTTATTTATAAATAATGAGTTTAGCTAGATTTTTAAAAAATCATATGGTTGTATTTCATAACCATTCTTCATAGTAACTACCTAGTCAAAATAAAAATACTGACTAAAGTATATACTTTAAATATTTGCCAAATTTTCTTTTTTTTTTCTGTTTAAATGGTAGTTGTATGTGGAAGTCAACAAATTTAAACTTTAATTTTTGCAGAAGAAGTACATATAACCACTTAAGCAGCTGGTTGACAGATGCAAGGAATCTCACCAATCCAAATACTGTAAGTTAAATGACATCTTACTATAAAGAAAAGTTAAGATCTAAGCTAATCCAAACAGGAAAGCCTTTTACTGGTGAGATTTTTGTATTTGGGTATTAGGAATGAGATTTTTTGTTGTTGTGGTGCTGAGGATCAAATCCAGAGCCTCATGCATGCTAGGCAAGTGTGCTACCAATGAGCTATACCCCCAGCCCCAAGAATCTTTAGATTAACTGAAAACTTAATATTTTTTCCAGTTCTAATTGCTCCAGGTTTTCCATTTTATTATAATTGGTTTTTGTTCATGTTTGTGGTTTAAAAAAATGAAAGTTATGAATGGGGTGGTGATTTCATGTCAGTTGGAGACTATGAAATCTTCAATTTTAAAAGGGATGCCTGCATTTGTTTTGTATAATGTTGCCATTGGAGAAAACTGGGCACAATATATAAGAGATCTGTGTTATTTAACTGGATGTGAATCTACAGTTATTTGAATATTAGCATGCTTTAAAAAACCAGTTTCTTAACCAGACTGAGAAGATATTTATTGAGATTTTTAAAGCCAGCCATCTAAACTCTAGTATACAAGGATAAACAAACATATTCTTAACAAAAGAGGTTATAGTCTAACAGGGAAGCGACAGGTATATAGATAACTATATTGAAAAGCAGACTGAAAAATGAAATAGAAAATAGGGTGGCATAGTGTTGGGGAGTCTAGGATGAACAGTGCCTTCTGGAGAAACCAGCTTTGCAAAGGTATGGTGTGTAAGCAGGGCCTTGAGTAAGTTTCACTAATTTCTGTGGAAGGTTTTCCAGGAACAATGAGGAGAAGGACACTGAGCTGTGACTGGAAGGCCTGTGTCTCACTTAACTTTGTATGTCCACCATCTAGCAGAGGCCTGGTTCCATAAATATGTAATCAGTAGTGAGATTAGCTTTTATGATGGAACAGGAGTTTAACCATAATTGAAAGTTAACATTGTATGCCTATTATGCTAGAGACTGTACCTGGAACTTTTATTTTCATTATTATGTTGGTATATATATACAATCTGTAGATGAATGTTGGTAGGAGCTTTATTTACAATAGCCCAAAACTGGAAGCAATCTAGCTAATGTGCTCAGGATGGAACCCAGTACTTCACATGTGCTAGGCAACCAGTCTACCACTGAGCCACAACCTCACTGATACAGGCAACAGCTTGGATGGCTGTCAAGGATAGTATGCAGAGTAAAAGACAATTTCAAAAGGTTACATATTATATCTTCCATTTGTAACATTATCAAAATGATGAAATTGTAGAGATGGAAAAACAGATGAGTGGTTGCCAGTGTTAGGGATGAGGTGTGAGAGTAGTTCTTTCAGTGATGGAACGGTTCTATATCCTGATTGTTGTGACAAATCTATACCTGTGATAAAATACATAGAATCACACACACATGCACAGCCATACATGAGAGCATTTAAAAATTGACATTTAAGAGCTGTAGATTGTACCATGTCACTTTGCTGATTTTAAGAGAATGCTGTAGTTACATAAGTTGCTACCATCGGGGAAGCTTGGTGAAAGATACACAGGACCTCTCTTTTTGCTGTGACTTTACAGTTATTTCAAATAAAATGTTAAAGATACTCATTTTAGAAGGTCCATGGAGGCATGTAGTAAACAAATTAGCCATGTCCTTCCTGTCTCTTTTATAACCACAGTCTAACCAGATCTTCAAAAGAAAAAAAAAAATCTCTATTTTTTGATGTCCAGCTCATAAATTCCATTTTCTATAAAGTTGCCTTTGGATTTTATGTAAAAGTTATATATATTTTCTCATTTTGTTGCCAGTATGTTCTATACCTCTGTTATTAGCATTCCATGTGCGTCCCCTCTCAGTAAGGTGGGAAGCCTGCTTTTGAAATTCTTAAGTAATTGGGAAGGAAGTGGTATTCCTCCCTCCTCACCTCCCATGAAGCCAGGGTGTTTTCTTTGTTTGTTTTTTAAAATACTTTTTAATTGCTGATGGGCCTTTATTTATTTATATGTGGTGCTGAGAATTGAACCCAGTGCCTCACACGTTAGGCAATGCTTTACCACTGAGCCACAACCCTAGCCCTGTTTTCCTTGTTTTGAGTACCATTATTTTATTCTTTAAAAGACCAGTGGACTGTATGTTAGGATATTTTTTCCTTCTGAGTGGGCATTTGTTTATTGAATGAAGAATGTTTACTTTTGTTGTACTGCTTGACTAATGTCCTTGCAGAAGATTGAAAGTGTAAAAGAGCCAGGTACTGTAATTTCACATGAAAAAGGTGGAAGGTGGAAGCACCTTTTAGTTGAAACCATATCTGGATTACTATACCTGTATGGAAAGGGAAAGGAGGGGGGAGATTTTGATGTCCGAAATAAGCTTTTACACACATACAGTTGATCCATAAATCTTCCCTTCTTTGCCCCATGGAAAGGCCCAAACCGTTGACTGTTTCCAAGACTACACACTTTTTTCTTAAAGCTTTGCAGAGCTTTCTTTAACTTTGGCATAACTTTACTTTGTATAGATGGTTCCAAATGGAAGATTATAGGTGTGTGATATTTTGCCCTGGACTGGAACCCATAGCATTAGAACCCTGATTCTCATTCTCAGCTGCCCCCGTGGCAACACACAAGACATTTGTGTTTACCTGCTATGAACTTAGTCTTGCCTAGAGATAGTGTAGGTAGGACAGTCTTTGTCCATAGGTCACAATGAGAGTTTCCTACTTGGTTCTAACATCCTACTACCACTGACTTAGTAGCTTTTGGCAAGTTCCTTTACCTTATTTGGGCTCTAATTTCCTTACCTGTCACTTGAAGGAGTTGAACTAGTGGTTTTTAAACTTTCTGAGAGTCCCAAAACCTTTCATATATATATAAAAATAAATGTGTGTGTGTGTGGGGGTGTATGTATGGGATTTATTAATCTTACTCAAATAGATGTTGTTCTAGACCAGAAGTCACATCCAACCCACAGTCTAGTTTTGAATGGTTTGCAAAGCTAAGGATGCTTTTACATTTTTCAGGGGTTAATAGAAAACAAAAACAGCAAAGAAGAATATGCAGGCCAGGCACGATGGCACATGTCTGTAATCCCAGTGGCTTGGGAGGTTGAGGCAAGAGGATTGAAAGTTCAAAGGCAGCTTCAGCAACTTAGCAAAGTCCTAAGCAACTTAGTGAGACCCTTTCTCAAAAGAAAAAAACAAAATGGGCTGGGGATGTGGCTTAGTGGTTGGTTAAGTGCCTCTGGGTTCAATCCCTGGTACAAAAAAACAAAACAAAACAAAAAAAACAGGTGGAGACTATATGGGGTCTACAAACTTGAAAAATACACTACCTTTTCTTCACAGAAAGCTTGTCAAGCTTTGGCCTGTGTGACTGCTAAGGTCTTTCTTCTTACTAATGTCTTTATGATACTGTAGACCTGCCTGATGGTATTGCTAGTACTTGGTTGCCTTTTTTGGACCCAGTTTTTTGTTCTGTCAAGATTTGGGGGGGTTTCAGAATTTGCATGGTTGGTTTAAATGGTTTCTTTTGTTTTAAGATGTCTTTCTTTTGATTACAAATTAGGTAATAATTCTCATAGGAAATAAAGCAGATTTGGAGGCACAGAGAGATGTTACATACGAAGAAGCCAAACAGTTTGCTGAAGAAAATGGTGGGTTTCTTTTTAACACTTAATGATTATACTTGGGAGAATTTCTGAGAAAAGGTGGGATTTTGATATTGCAGATTATTTGACAAATTTTCAAAAATTCAGACTGCTCAAAAATCTCAAGAATGAGGGAATAAAGTGTGTGCAGAAGCTTGTATGAAATTCATTTTAGGAGCAGTTCAATTGATTAGAAATATTAAGATAACCCCAATCAAAACTATACATTTTTTTGTACAGTAACTACAGGAGGAATACTGACAGCTGATGGGAAAACTTACTCAGATGTTACTGAAGAGAAACACTCTTGTGAGTTAGTTTGAAATGTCCTAATTATAGTCTCAATTTTATTTTTAGGCTTATTGTTCCTTGAAGCAAGTGCAAAAACGTAAGTATAGTTGAAATGTTGATTATGTTTCAGTTATACTGTTTCTCAAAGTAGAACCATGTATACAAAAAGTGTATAATATATACACACATGTACATATACAAATAACATATCCATGTAATATGTGTACGTGTGTGTTTGTGCGGGTGCTGCTGGGGATTGAACCTAGGGCTTTGTGTGTGCTAGGCAAGCACTCTACCACTAAAGCTACATCACCAGTTCCACGTGTAGTTTTTAATGACGGGAAGAACAGTAAGCAAACATACTTCCCATTTCACATTTAAAAATAAGGTGAATTTTTATTACTTAAAAAATTATTTCTTAATTGTTCCCATTGGTAACCCAGTTTAATAAATGAAACTGTTTATATTCCAAAAGTTTTGTTGGACTTTCACAACAGGAATTTGGCATATTGGATGCAGTCTTGGCTAATTTGTTCATATAATACTTATGATTATGTTAAAAAGCATGATACTGTGTATGTGGGTTGTACTGAGATTTAACCTGGGGGGCTCTAACACTAGGCTACAGCCCTAGCATCACCACCAGGCTGCCCTGGAACTTGGAATTCTCTTGCCTCAGCCTCCTGAGGCATTGGGATTACAGGCCTGCACCATTGTGCCAGACTGGAAATATTGTCTAAAAATGATCATTTCTAATTGTTCTTCCATGAATCCTTGTACTCCCAATCAGAGTTCTTTATTTATTAAGCCAAAAAGTCTTTCAAGTGATGAGTAGAGGGTAGCTTATTTTTGTTTAGTCTTACATTTGATTCTTTTAGTCTCAAAAGATTGAAAAATGTGAACATGGCTAAGCATGTTACCATCATATGATAAAAACAGGACACAGTCCATACTTACACTTGTTTGATCAGACAGTGTAAATCTTGGAATCCTATTCAGCATGTTTGGAGAAATTTCCATTTGTATTTGGAGTATCCTGTCTGTTGTCACAGAAATGGCCTCTCATCCATCATGTTCTATGTTACGTGTACCATTTTAGTAATAATTAGAACATGTGTAATGACCTGATACAGTTTGTAGAAATAGCTTTTAGTATGTTTTTTCACTTTCCACCAGAAATATCTTCCCACATTCTCTTAGTCCAGTCAAGTGATCTCTTATTAAATGACACTGGCTAAGTTGAAGATATCATGGTAGTTGACTGAAGGGTAGCAAAAAAGTCAGTGTATAATGTGTTACCTGTAGAAATCTATGGTTCTTGAATAAAAATTGTTAATTGCCTCTTAGGGGAGAGAACGTAGAAGATGCTTTCCTTGAGGCTGCCAAGAAAATCTATCAGAACATTCAGGATGGAAGCCTGGATCTGAATGCTGCCGAATCCGGTGTACAACACAAACCGTCAGCCCCGCAGGGAGGCCGGCTAACCAGTGAGCCCCAACCTCAGAGAGAAGGCTGTGGCTGCTAGTGACCTCTTTGCTGTGGCCCCTCATTTGACCTTTCACCTCTGTCTGTTGGAAGCAGTACTTTTTACTGCCACGTTGTCTTCTGTACATCTTACTGGGTTTAATTAAAAAAAAAAAAAACAAAGAAAAAAAACAACTCTGTTGTAAAAACAGTTTAACACAATACTAAACTGCTAAACAACTAGATGTAATCAGGTTATCAAAGGCAAGTAGAGTAATAAATCTCTCCTGCATGGTAAATCTAGACTTTTTTTTCCCTCCTCGATTGTCTTTGTGATAGATATGTCACCAATATATGATTTAAACTGAGCACTGATGCTGGACTTGATGATTTTTACCTTCCCTCTTTGGCAAGGCATTGTCTCACTGTACGGTTTAATTTGCTGATATCTTCAGCCTTTCTCCCTCACTTTGACTGTTTGTCTGTTGCAACCATTGCTGTGAAATGACTTCTGATGGTAGAGAAGGGGTTCTACAACTGCTTTTGTTTTGTTGGATAAATTCCCTGTTGTCAGGTGGCATTTTTCTTGATGAGTTTTGCTTCTGTCTTAGCCTTGCACAGGGAGAAATATCCATTTATCTTTTCTCTCATGCTTAATAGCTTTATCTCTCTTTTTTTTTTACACACCATTTATCCTTTTCTCTTTAACAGAAAGTAAATATGTATAAAATTTGAAGGAACCGAACTAACAATACATCCTGTGTATATTATTTTAATGAAGAAAATAAATTGATTACTGGCATTGGAACAGTATAAAATACCAGTTTGTACAGTATGACCTGTATGTGACCATGTTACTCCCTGCCATTTCACACAAGGAAATAGACACAACTGCAGTTCACAAGTAATACTGGCTCCACCCCTTGGTGCTGGCAGTGTTTGGGGACATTATGCTGGAAAGAGCTCCTAGCGTCAGCAGATTTAACACTAGCAGATTCTGTTCCATCTTTGCACTGTGGCTTACCTGCTGATTTTCTTAACTGTTCTTGTGCAATCGACAATGTGCTAACCTGCTTTTCTCTTTTTGTAAACATTTTGCATTACGGGCTGCATTCTTGCCTTACTGTATAGAAAAAGAAAAAAGGCTGGGTTTATTATTGCACATTTTAAGCTTTTATATCTTTATCTTCTTGGAATGGTCGAGATTGTGAACCAAATAGCCAGAACCATAGGTCTGCTGTTAAGGGATTTTAAATTGTGCATTTTTAACACCACAGTGAAATGGGATTATCCCTTGTGTTCATAGTGGGAGGGGCTAGTTTATGTCATGTTGGCATAAATCATTTTGTAAAAGGGAAAGTGTTTCTAATGGTGTTTCAGTGTTTGTGCTGATACAAAGTAAGTTATTACTTTGCACTAGGTGGTTTGGCCACTGAAAGAATACATATTTTAAGAGAAACAATCTTCCTTCTTTAGAAAACTGTTTTCCTAAGTTCTTCACTTCTGTTGATTGCTTTTTAATTGAGTTTATGGTTCAGTGGCTGGGGATTGAGAAGTTACTGGAAGTGTAGGATAGGTAAACCTGAGCATATTATATAAAATGCGCTCAGCTCAACTGCTGTGTTTTAAATACACATTTTAAATCCCTATTTACAGACACTAACGTAAAGTTACATCTTTCTGGGCTATAAACCTGTCATAGTTCCAGAGTATTGTATAGTCAATGTTAAATAAAAGCCAAAACTGGAATGTGCAGAAAAATAGGATTTGGTTTATTTGTGGACTCATTTTTATTTTTGTCTCTGCTAAACTTTTTTAAGGAGATTCCTGGAGTGGATTGGGATATTCTGTTAGGCTTACAGTGGTCCATTTTGCTTACACTGTTGCATCACAAGGGATTTGCCCAGGGACCATGACCTGCTGGTGTGTGTAAATATTTACAAAAACAAAACAAACCACCTACTGGGATATAAGGTAGCAATCACAAACTAAAGACTCCTTGTTTAGGTGCAATACCCTGATTCCCAAAGTTAGTTACAGTGGGTCTTAATTGTTTTTGTGACAGAAGGATTTATTCAGACTGCTGTACTCTTCATTTGATGTAACAAAATGCTATTAATCTAAATATTTGTAAATAAAGTACCTGTATCTAGATTAAATTAAAATTGGTTGCATTATTTTCTGAACTATAATAGGATTTATTTTCTTCAGGTCAATGGTTTTTTGATGTTTAAGTGTTCAGTTTTTATTGCATAACTGTGCTTATTCATTGTATGAAGAGGTCTACATATAAAACCACATCAATAAGTAATTGAGCTAGTTTTGTCCTAATATTTACATAACCCTTGGATTATTTTCATTGACCTTCAGTTTGAGGTCAGCATATTTGGTGGTTGGTAATGTTCTCCCTTTACTGTACGTGGGGCCAAATTTTATTATTTGCATGTGTAAATCCCTATAATAAACTTGGGTGCTCAAAAGTGAGGAGCAGATTGTCCTGTTGTAACATGAGTGTGCCAGACACTGGGTAGGTAGTACACTTTGGAGAGAATGCAATTCTTTTAATTTTTAACCCAAAAGCGCTTCCTGCTTGTGCAGTCACCTGTTTGTTTGGATTACTCATTGCCCTGCACCCTTGAGGAAGCCCTTGAATTAGTTATTGGTGCTCAGTACTATTTATGCATTAGACATTCCAGTACAATGTTCAAGTTATTTTTCATGGATAATAAAATGTTTGATGCAGTAATGTTGATTTTATTTTTGGTGGGGGTGGGATTGTTGGAGTCATATACAAATTCTAGTGGTAGTAAACAATTTTGGGGGAAAGATGTATATTGAAACCACTTATTTGACTTCATACATTCATTACTTCACTTCTCTAATTCCATAAGGCCATAGGTCTTAGACTTTTTTTTTTTCCCCATATATCCATTGTTTTACATGTAACCTTTATAAAAATAGAATTGTCTGGTCCACTCACCTTAAACAGAAGGCCAAATATCTTCCATTTCTGTCTATTTGGGAATACGGAGAGGGTTCGTGTGGCACTTTAAATTTAATCTACATCTGCAGCATATAAAACCACATCAATAAGTAATTGAGCTAATTGACCCACATTCAACACAGGCCTGAAAACTGCCCTTGAAGAATGCCAAAATTGTGAATGGGCCAGGCCTTTAAACCATTTTGCTAAGAGTTGCAAAAGTGAAATGAAGGAAAATGTAAATACAAAATACAAACCAAGGGGCTGGGGTTGTAGCTCAGTGGTAGAGCGCTTGCCTGGCACGCACGAGGCACTGGATTTGATCCCCAGCACCACATAAAAATAAATAAAATAAAGGTATTGTGTCCATCTACAGCTAAAAACATTAAAAACAAAAAAACCCTGACAAAATACAAACCAAATTTTGTTTTAGAAACATGTCTTCTAGAACATACTAAATCAGTAATTGTATGTGACTTCCATTATCTTTACTGTAATTAAATTTGTGTAGTATCTTAATGATCCAGTTCTAGCCACACTATAGGAATCCAAAACTTTGGTGGCAAGGGATTATTACACTGTGCTGTTCTGCATAGTAACATGATATAATGCCAGTTCTGGCTCAAAAGTTATTTGGTGGTCTAGAAAACAGTGCTTGGGAATATTTTAAAACCTCTATTACATATTTCCCTTTGGGAATAATTCTATTGTCACACAACTGGGATGGTATTTTTATTTTTCCTGTAGTACTGGGGTTTGAATCCAGGGGGGCTCTACCACCGAGCTACATTCCTGGCTCTTTTTTTTTTAATTTTGAGACAGGGTCTCCCCAAGTTGCTGAGGCTGGTCTCTAATTGGGATCCCTTTGCCTCCCAAATAGGTGGGATTATAGGCGTGTGCCTACCTGTTATTCTTGTTTTTAGAGAAATGTATAGGTCATGGAATTGAGCTGTTAATTATAATTCAACAGTTTAATAAAAATCTGACTACAATATGAATTTATGTGACTGGGTTAAGTGTTTATAAAGAATAAAGTTTTCCTAATTTCCCCCCAAAGAATATTATTGGCCAAGGAAAAATGTCTGAAGCATAATGGTTTTATATTATTTTTGAATCAAGAAACATTCATTGGGAAATAGAACCTACTTCCAGGTAAAGGATAGTAAAACCAACTAGAAGATTGTCATTTTCTTGGAAATAAGGCAAAATTTGATGGCTTTTAGATGTCACAGATCTGTGAAATTTAGATGACAGACCCAAGTTGAGTGTATCTTTTATTTTTATATGAAAAATAGATTTTAAGTTAATCCAAAAATAACTTGAAACTATATAAAAGAAGAGGGGCTTTTAAGTTAAGTACATTCTTTGCAACTAGATTTACCAGTGTATAGATTCAAATAATGAAATTAAGGTCAGCATTGTCTTTATAAAAACACACCACAAGATTAAAAACAAAGGTTTTAGCCACCTAGGAAACTGGTTTAAATTGTTTACAACTATTCCCATATATACAAGTGGTTTACAAAAACATTGGCATTAATGGTACAAAAGCACAGTAGAGTGCACTTTCAGCATCTTGATTCACTGGATCTTGATAAAACCACACAACAATGCAATTTGGAAGTTAGTGAGGTAGTGGAGAAAGTGTCCTCAGATACATTTACACAAGACATCACTCCTCGTCCCGGTGGGCCATCCTTTTCCTACATTGTAAGACGAAAAGATGGAAAAGATGAATTAAATTCTTTTAACAGTGAAAACTGTCTTAATAGGCGATGGCACAATGGCTGACAGGAAAAAAAAATCACAAATTTGAGTACCTCTGGACTGTTTCTTTTTCATCCACGGCCTCATGCAAGCTAGGCAAGTGCACTACCACTCATATATTTTCAGCCCCAAAAGTTTAAGATGAACCACTTCAAGATTATGAGAGAAAAAATTAATTTTTTTTTTAAGACCTCTGGAATTGAAGATTTTCCAATTAAAAGTGCTTGGTTTTAAAAGATTTCATGTGCTAGAGATGTGGCTCAGTGGTAGAGGAGTGCTTGCCTACCATTGAAGGCCCCAGGTTCAGTCCCTAGTACGTAAGGGGTGGGGGGAAGAAATAGAAGAACTCTTTAACATGTACCCTATGAGCAGGAAGCTGTTAATGGCATCCATGTTGGTAACTGACTGGCAGTTCTGATGGACCTTGTAGAACCTGGAAAGAGCCCTGAAAAGAAATGTATAAAACATCAGGCCCAAAGGCCAGCCCCCCACTCCAAGCTAGTTCAAACCTTTATCCCACAGAAGGCTGGATTTCAGCCCCAGATTTTTAAACAATTCCAACAGCTTTGTCCTACTCATGCTCCAACATCTCTCATTTTCTGGCATTCAGAGCATCGGAGTTCTTCTGGATGCAATCTTGAGCTGATAATTAAACCTGGCCCCTAAACCTCCACGTGCTCTTCTCACAACTGGGCTGCTACAGAGCCCACCTATGTTTCCATGCCCAGTGCATCACACTCTTCCTTAACACTGCCCTGAGGCCATGATGGTTCTGGCCTTTTCTGCACTAGGGTCCCACTGCAGAGTTAAGGAAATCATATTCAAATCTTGGTTCTGCTACTAATTAGCTTTGTGACCTGGGTAAGTCACTTGCTCCTCTTTGGCCTATTAAAGAAGTTGTCCTTGAATGTTCCTTGTGGTTCGCCCATTACAATAAACAGCTCAGATCAGACCTTAATCAGACCTTTGTCTTCTGCTACATCCTTAATCAGGTCATTTATCTTTTTAGTATAAAAAGACATCCCAGAATGTAAGGATAAAATGGGCTGTTATCTGTAAAGTGTTAACATAGGTGTGTAAGTCTCCCACAGAAAACCTTTATGAAATTCAGTTTGTTACAGTTCAAAATTTTTACTGCAAAATAATATTAGGCACTATTATTAATAATCATCTTTCCCCAGGACACAGGGAAACTGACAAACTAAACTAAGACTCAAACTGGCCTCATAGGTCTAAGATCTTTACATTGACCAAGTAGAAAATAAGGAAATCTGGAAATGGAGGACAGGAAGAATAGAATTAATTGCATTGCTGTCAGGTCATGCACTCTTCAGTGCTAATCTACTTGCTAAGCCATCAGCTTATTTTTTTGGATATCTATGAGCTAGGCAATTCCAGTTCTCCCACAGGCCACAAAATACTGAATCTGCTAAGACAAATTTTCCAGATCAGAAGGTGGCATTTAGATCCTGAGTTCTCTGACCCTGAATCCTCCGCAGATTCAGCGTGTGCCTCAAAGTTTCAAGTACTTCTGAAGTAACATATTAAACTCTAAGGGCTTCCTCTTACCTGACTTTGCCCAGGGTGAGAGTCATCTGCAAGCGAAGACTCCAGGTGAGACAAACTGGGTGACAATGTTGAATCTATAGAGGTGCTGGTGACCAATTCTCCTAACGCATCCACTTGCCTCCTCAGACTATGTAAAGTGCCCTCCGTCTGCCGCTTTCCTTTGATTAATACTTCTGCTTGCTTGGACATACAGCGTCGAAGCTGGGCCTGAAAAGGGTTAGACAAAACAGGGTTTTATGCAGAAGTCACAGCTTCTCATGCTCCACATCTGAGAGGCCAGCCTGACCCTCGTGGAGCAGGAGTGACTGCTGGAAATGCTGAGTCCTTAAAAAACAACTGAAGGAGCTTCCAGGGAAGGATGGACACCCCTGTGGGCACAACTTTTACCATCTATGTTGTCATTAACTGGATCTTTGACCCAGCCCATTCTTTCCACTGTAGCAATGCTTAGGATTTCCGCCTCTCCTGCCTTCCCACTAAATTGCTACCTCATCTCTTTGTTTGCCAAGAATCAGATGATTAGTTGATACTTGGAATCTTCAGTGTCTCCTCACTAGGTATTTAATTCACAGTGCCTCTTGACCTTTCCTTATGCTTTAATCTTGAAGTGATTCAGTCTGAAGCAGCACCCTCCACACACACTTTCTGCAGTGATGGAATGTTCTATCTCTGGTTGTATCTATCTAGAGCAGCCACTAGACACACATGGCTACTAAGCACTTGAAATGTAGCAACTGAAGAATTGAATTTTTAACTTGATTTAATTATATAACTGACTAAAATTAAAGCAGCCATGTGTGGTGGGAGAAAGTCACTGGAAGTCACAGGGCTCTTCTCAATGCTGCA